TGATGAAAGGTGCACCCTCTCTGGGCGTGAGGGAGTGTGGTGTGTGTGTGTGTGTGTGTGTGTGTGTGTGTGTGTGTGTGTGTGTGTGTGTGTGTGTGTGTGTGTGTGTGAGAGAGAGAGAGAGAGAGAGAGAGAGAGAGAGAGAACAGAAAAGTTAAAGTATAGAGAGAGAAATCAAGACCATGAACCAAACTGAATAAATATCTTTAACGCCAGATGTTTATATTATTTTTCTTTTCAGCACTGAGATGAAGCGTTTCCTTCTGGTTAGCAGAGGGTCTACTTATTACTTCCCCCAACCCACGGAGAAAGAGAGATCGTGAAGGTATGGATTGGCTGAGAAAATGGAGAGGGGGGGGGGGTCAGGCTACGTCAAATGAAGTCCATGCTTACAATTAAATATATAAAGAATGCTATATCTTAAAAGAAAACTCACATGAAGTATGGGAGCAGCGTCTGGTATTCCTCCACACTGACCGAATCCACGTGTGCGTGTGTGTCTGTGTTACCTGTTCGCCTGAGTTTCCCTTTACTCGCACGCTATAACAGGATTGGGAGCGTTCCGCTATGAAGCCTCTTTTCCTGTGCACGATCCCACCCCGCGGGTTTTTGCCTAAGCACCTTATTTTGCTTACAGCTTGCAACTTGGGTTACAAGTTGTTGTCTTATTTTTCTTTGTCTTTTAGTTTTGAGAATTAAAAAGGAGGGGGGGGGGGAATCTCATGTGTTTCCGTCCAAGACTTCCTGTTATCTTCATACTGATGATGAACTTTTGAAAAAATTTACCTAATACTCTGAAGTCCACGCTTTAGAAAGTTTCAATTTTACATCGGTATTTCTTACAAAGCCCTTTTCCCTGCAGTAAGAAGATCTGGAAGGTAAAGCAATGCGTACCGACGAACAGCTTCTGTCGAAACAGCTCCACTGGCTGAGCAAAACGAAAAGCAAATGGAAAAGTTGCTGCGTGAAGGTGCACGCCAGAAATAGGTGAGTCTTCGTGTTTATCGCTTCTTATGCCATAATAATATTATTATGGTCATGTGATCTACTTCTAGTTCTAGGCACTCTAGGACTCAAAATAGAGAAGAAAAGAAAGAGGAGTTTTCAAGTTTAAAAAGAGAAATTATGTATAATACATTATCTTTTCCGTCTCTCTCTCTCTCTTTCTCTCTCTCTCTTTCTCTCTCTCTCTCTCTCGCTCGTTCTCTCTCTGTCTCTCAGTCTCTCTATCTCTCTCTCTCTCTCTCTCTCTCTCTCTCTCTCTCTCTCTCTCTCTCTCTCTTTGTGTTCCTCTCTTTGCTACTTTGAAAGATTTTAATTATTTATATATTTTCGTGTTTTGATTTGTTTCTTTCTTTTACCTTTTGTCCGTAGAACACAGTGGCCAACATTATATAATGTTCGCTGCAGTGGGTGCTGAAAGCATTTCAAAACACAATTCAAAGTTCAAAACCGAATTCG